GACAAAGACAAAGACAAAGACAAAGACAAAGACAAAGACAAAGACAATGACAATGACAATTACAATGACAATGACAATGACAATGATAATGACAATGACAATGACAATGGCAATGACAATGGTAATGATAATAATAATAATAGTACCAATAGTCATTTCAACCACAGGCATCATTCCCAAACTGCTATACGAGTCATTGCATTCCCTGAATCTCCCACCAAACATATACCACTTGTTACAGAAGGCAGCCATCCTTAATACTTGTCGCATTGTCAGAAGATTCTTGCAGATGAAAGAGGACGGAGTAAGCTTTTGTTACGCACCTTCACCACCGTCCACATAGACATGCTGCATTTGCTTGATTTCGGTCCGTAAGTGTGGTTCAAACCATCTACAAAAAAAGCTGAGAAAAATAAAGAAATAATAATAATAACGCACACACTCAACATAGCCCCGCATTAAGGAAACCCTGTGTCGCGGGTGGCATGGACACACACATAGACAACCACAAATTACACCCAAACTCACGAGAGAAATAAATGTAGGGCACACAAATATTTCTTCCGGCCCGGGAATCGAACCTGGGATCTCGAGGCAGTCGAGTCCGGCATGGTAACCGTTCGGCCACAGAGGCAGTTTATAATGAATATTTTTTCTACCTAATTGATGATTATAACTAATAAACATTACTAATTTAATCTTTTCTACCATAAATAGCATTGAATAATTTAAAATTTTTGATTTAAATAGAAAATGGTAAGTGTCAAATTCTGCCCACCTGCAGGGTACTATGATATATCCCTTGGGGCACATAGATGTGTGAATCAACGTAGTGTGCTATTCCTGGTTGCTACTTATGATCAGCACGAGGTGATCAACTGTTCATAAAGTATGACGCTATATATACCTTAGCACTTGCTAGATCAAAACTTCTTTCTAGGGCACCATTTGAAAAGTGTTCTTTGTAATGTAGTCTCGAAAGTAGAAATACAGAACGAAGTGTCACTAGTTCACTTCTTTACAATAACTTGTTGAAACAGTTTTACATTTTCCGTACAAAATAACTAATAGGAGCATTTTGATACGTACCAAACTGCCCCACTCGAGCCGCCGCGTATAAAAGTACCCCACCGGCCTATTTAGAAAACAATATTTATTTTAAAACATCTTTTTAAATTTTCATATAGTCACATGCAATTCTAGTTATCGAAAACACTAGTTTACCCTGTATTAAGACATAAAACCCTTTAAAGTGAACAAAACTGCAGTGACACTCGTATTTGTGTCGCTTAATTTTTTAGTCAACGGCTGTGAAAACACTTGTTACCTGTCGAACGACAACGGCTAACTGGTGAGCTGCATCATTGCATAATATCACAACTAATATTATGTTTGAAAGTATGGAGATAATGCAATATGAAAGTGGCCTCTGTATCCAACTGCCCCCGCTTCCCCCTATGTATCCTTTACATTTTATTTTCTTATTTTGGTGAACAAAAAGAAAAAAGTACACAGTTATTGCTCAGCTCTTAGTAAAAAAAGGTAGAATAAATGTGTCTCTTGAAAGTACCTACTGAAATTGTTCAGATAAATTGTGCGATTAAATAAATTGATGTAAAGAAACTTAGAATTCTATTGCTCCGAACCCTACTCGTTATTTTATAGTTCTTTGTCCTTAATTTAATACTTATAGATAAGTAATTTTACATTCTGAGACTATGAATTTTACAAGTAACCAATGCAGTAAATACTTTTTGATTATTGTATACTCGTAAAACGAGAGAGTAGACATTTACAAATACAAGGAAACGAATCAGTGATATCGCAATCGTAGCGCAATCTAGTTTCCCTTCACATAACTACGGATGTGCACGACATACGAGATTGATGTTTGTATTTCAGAAACAAAATAAGCAAACGAACGTTCAGCCTCGTTACTCTAATCACGTACAAGTTTTGGTAACATTCGGTAGATGGCGTTAAAAGCCTTAATGTGCGAAAGAGCGTTCAACACTTTCGTTCAGTTATTGATTATGCGCGAGTGTCCGTGTATTGGTCTAGTTGTCAAACACCAAATACTTCGCAATCGAAAGTCTATGTAATTTATAACGTTCAATAATTAATGATAATTTGAAGTAGTATTTGAATTAATAGTGCATGTAATATGTAATTCTTTAGTCAACCGTTCAAATAAGAGGACAATTGACATTAACTTTTTGAACGTGCGACATTTGTTTTGACGTTTTTATTTTGTTTATATTTATTTATGACGAAGTGAGTAATTTTTGGCGTCAAAGCTTAATTTTATAATAACAAATGTAAGAATTGTTACTTCGAAGTACTCACCGCCCAGTCCAGCCTTCAAGAGAAGTACTCCTATGCTCAGGTTTGCATTTTTTATGCTGAACGCTGTTTATTTTATTTTTCAGTTTCACACTTAGTTTTTTCGGACTGTTTTGTATTTTCACCCCGGAAAACATTTTGTATTGTCCTCACAACATAAGCACAGATATTGTATCTACTCACGCACTTCTATCATTTGTATCTGGAAAATAACTTAACTAATATCAATTGTTACAGTTTTGATAATGGAAAATGTAGAACCTGAAAACCCCGAGTGTGACGGCGAATTTGCCTTCGAAACTGACCACTTGGCGCTGCGAGGTAACAAAGATTACTGCGAGCTATTAAAATATATCGTCAGGTTAGAAGCATTGAAGCTACAGGCTCTCAAAGACACAGAAGACTTAGCAGAACAGCAAAACAGGGCGTTAGATGATCCATTGCAGTTTGTTGAAGACTTGAAATTAGGTAAAATAAATTTCCCACCAAGGCAACATGTTCCAGAACCACCCAACATAGATTGGAACAGCTATGGAATAGATACAACTATGGACGATGACTTTAGAGACGTAAAGTCAAATAAAAATGATGACAGCAGCACTAAAGTCAGGGGTCGAAAGTTTACAGACAACAAGCCTGAGACATTCAATCAATTGTGGTCTTGTGAAGAACAAAAGAGGCTCGAGGAATTATTAGAAATATACCCTGAGGAACCCATTGAAGCAAGGAGATATAAGAAAATAGCTGAAGCTCTCGGAACACGAACACCTATTCAAGTTATGAGCAGGATTCAGAAATATTTTGCTAAATTAGCAAAAGCTGGCTTGCCAATACCTGGGCGAGCGCCAAAGAGAGTTGGAAGAGAAAAAAGCAAATCCATTTTTTATAAAAAATCTACATTTTTCCCTCAACTCCACGTTCCTGTTAAAATGGAAGATCCTTATGACAGTGGTGATGTGCTTGAAAGCACTTCAACATTAGAAAGCAAAAGTGGCCAGAAACATATGCTGGATTTATTGAAAGCAGCCAAAGATCAAAGGGTACTGGATGAGATATCTCCTATATATCAGACTAAGACAATGTGTGTAGGCTGTCAGAAAACTGGATTCTTAGGAGCAAGGTGGACAGATAACACTGGCACAGATTATTGCACAGATTGCGTGGTGAAGCTTTTACCAGCTGAGAAATTAATACCTATTCGAACACCTGTTTAAATTCCTTCAGCTTTAATTTTTTTCTAAAATATGGTACATTGGTATCACTAAGAACAAATTTATTTAAGTTGAGGTGATTATTCACTACTACATACAAATTTTCACTCAATATAGTTTCAAACATATTATCTAGTGTATTATTTGACCATAGTGGCATGGTCCTAAAACAACAATGGTTCACTTAGCATGCATTTGCTGTAAACACTTACATCACAATATATTGCATTAAAAACTGCTAGTAACTATTTATTAGTGACGCGCTTTCCGCGATCGGACGCGGCGAGAGATGAACAGCCACTGGCTTGGAACACTGAACATGCCCACTCAACTACTGAACCCCAGGGTAATAGTTATAACTACACTAATAGACTACTCCACACATTATGTATGTATTGAAGTCTTAAACTGTTAATGTATTCAGTTCTTTCTAACTATTGCTGTTGTAAGAAGTGCTAATTTATTTCGCCTTGATTTACGTGTGTTTTTAGTCACCTTACTAAAGTTTGTAACACAGTGAATGACTCTTTCTGTTCAACGTTCCTATGAAAGCTTAGGAATTTCTAACTATGTAGATAGTGTTATTGTAGGAACCCTTTGATTAGCTCTAAAGGTGCTCTAAAACAGCAGTTGAAATTTGAGAATTGGGACAACAAAGGTTATTCCCGCGTGCTAGTGGTCTATAAACATCATAATCAGCTTAGCTTGTTAACGTGCAGCGTCAGCCAGCCTTCATCGTGCATGAAGCTTCTAGAAACGTCTAGAAAACGCTACACACTCACCTAGGTCCAGATCTGTTTTGATACACTGAAAACAACATTTTAGCCAATTAATTTTTCTACTAAACATTATTTTTAAATCTCTACATAGATTAATTATTTGGTCTTTTCTTTATCCATATGTTTAATGACATTAAACAGGTAGGTATATTACAAGTAGGCAGGCTTAGGGTCTTAATAATTTGATTTACCAAGATACATCAGCATATGAGATCGTTTCAAAGATAAATATGGGATGTTTTGAGTACAAACGTTCACATTTGTACATTTATTGTTCTAAAGTGTATAAGCATTTGATTAAGATTTAAAGTAAAGAAATCATGAAGACCCAATACGACACGGTTTCGAACCCACCTTTCCGAAAACCTATTAATAGTTAATACATTACTATTCAGTGATTATATTCATATTTGGTTCAATGTATGTATATAATCTATCATAATAGAATGTCAAAATAAATGCTAAAACTTTTCCATTAAAACCTTACAATACTTCATTTTGTCAATGTTACGTAAGCAGTTAGGCTGTGTAGCATTTTAGGTTCCGGCATATTAGTAAACCTGTTTACATTCTGTGTGTTACTTACATATTGCGTTGCGATGCCGATGTTTATTAATACTGCCTTTGGGATATGAAATGTATGACTGATTCAATCTGTGTTCTATTGTTATGCCTGGACCTCAGATTACAGCGATTGTGTGCGGCGAGGTGGATCGGTTGGGATTTTGACTATCTTTCTACGAGAGAATGCCAATATCGGTTCGTTATTGGTTGGCACTATTATAGAAAAAGTTACACACTTAATAATAGCAAGAAGTGATAAATTCCTGGGTGTCAAAGTACCTTTATATCAATGCACTTAAAAATTTCGACAAGTAGGTACAGTATACAACCCTTTTCTGGAAGCAACTCCAGGCACATTCCGATTCGAGTATAAGATTGACGGAGAGATCATGAATAGGATAAATTCAGTACGCGATTTGGGACTTCATATTTCAAAAGAGTTGACATTTCATGAGCACATCACGAAAGTTTGTAAGAAAGCGAATCGTAGTTTAGGATTTATACAGAGACAGACTAGTAGTTTTAAAAGGGTAGAGACATTAAAAATTTTATATAATGCACTTGTAAGAAGTCGACTAGAAAGTAGCTCCATAATATGGAATCCCCACGAAAATAAGTATAACCTCATGGTCGAGAAAATACAAAATAAGTTTTTAAGGCTTGCGTATTTTAGGACATATAAAGTCTATCCCAGGTTCCCTAATATGTATCCAACCGCATTTGTCCTAGGAATGGTTGGATATTATAAACTCGAGACTCGAAGGAACCTGGCTCTCGTCACGTATGTTTTTAAGGTTTATCGCGGCTTTCTGTGCAACCCGCAAATACTAGAGGCTATAGGACTCCTCGTGCCAAACATACGCCTACGCAGCTCCTTGCGACAACAGACTCTTGCACTGCCGCCGTGCAGAACAAATGTGCTGAAGCATGCGCCGCTTGTAACCGCTTTACGATTACTTAATGACATTAATAAAGAAATTGACATATTTTGTTGCTCACTGTCGAAGTTCGCAGAGGTTGCCCGAGACGTTATTTGTAAGATAGGTTAAGTATGAGTAAATTTTTTTAGTGTTTTTAATTTGTAAGCTACTGACATTTTTAATATAATAATTTAATTTAACAAAATATGTTCAATATAGTTTTATATGATTTAGTAATAATGCCTTAATTAAAATTGTGACATGACATAATCGAATTGGACTCAGGTATTCTGTAATGATTAATGTTAATTGCACAGTGTAATGTAAATGAATAAATGAATAAATGAAGATGAATAAATGAATCTCTCAAATCTTTTTTTATGGATTATGGCTAAAGGAATAAAAATTCTTTTGTCAAGAATAGTGAATATACATCTAAATAAAAATTTCTTATTTCGGTACTCTACTCATTCATTTAGGTTTATTGATGGCGCCATTTTTTAGGATTTCGCCAGCATTACTTATTTTGGGAAGCTGCAGTATTTTGGTTACGTAATGAGGGGCCATAGATACCTGATTCTTCTACCGATAATGCAAATCCAAGGGGTAAAATACAAGGAAAGCGAAGTTGTGGAAGAAGGAAAACCTCGTGGTTGAAAAATCTGAAAGACTGGTTCAATCTTAGCACACGTTCCCTCATGCGTGCGGCAGCTTCAAAAATGAGGATAGCCGCGACAGGCCGCCAACCTTCGTAGAGAACCGGCATACTAAGAAGTCGGTAGATGATCAGCCGCGCGCTTACTTTTTATTTTGACAGACGTCCCAGCTAAGGTCGACAATTTGAAATACGTCTTTAACGTAAGGTAATATTTCATCATTGAGTAAGGTATTCACAAAATTTATCCCTCTAAGTTACCACAGATAAAGAAATGTCGAAAATTTCTAAACTTTACTTATATAAAACATTAATAATATTGATTCCTCATCGTTGTTATTTATTTAAGAATCTCGATAATTCTATCTATCGACATTTCGTAGTTATTTACAAATTGTTGGGTAAATTAAAATTTAGACACTAGTACTAAATTAGGTACTGTCAAAACTGACCACTTGATTGTAAAGATTACTAGGTCAGTTGCGTGATGGTTAGTACCACACGATAAAATATTTTATATAAATAAAGATTTGTAATCGTTGAGTAATCTGTTGTATGACGAACCCCAGACTTGACATACGACTTTTTACGGCAAAATAGTCGTGACAACTTTTTTACATTTACTGATTTTTTTATGTAATAGTGTAATTACTTCTCACAGAGTTTGTTTTCTAAGTAAAATAAGTTTAACGTAGTAGAATTTTTTGACGGGATATAAACATAAGACTATAAATACCTTATTAGGAACTTAACCACTTAGTAGCATTCGTGTGACATTGAAATTTCTGTATATAACAAAGTACTTAGTGAAAATTTGGAACTTTTGGAAGGTATTCGCTGTATTAATTATAAAAGACTAAATCTACTAAAATTATGTAGGCCTTCAACTGGACACATTACCTACACGACATTCTTATCATAATTGGCAAAGAGTTGAGATCAAGTGTAAAACTATGTAGTGGCGATGTGTGCTTTTGTAGACATAGACATAGAATATCTATGGTTGTAGAGATAATCAAATGTAAGGCCAAAGTGGCACCAATTTTTTTATTTGCGCATCTATTAAAATCGCTAAACAATACTCTCACTAACCGAATAGGTACTAGTCTTTTTATCAGTGTTTGGAACTATCATCACTTCTGTGGCTTGGTTCAAGAAGTGCCTAAATCCCTATTTCTTTACGCACGTCTTGTATCGAGCCATATAATTCACCTGTTTCACTTACGGATGATAGTAGGTACATTTTTTCTTCTTATTGAGGAGCAAACAGCTTTTTACAATTCTACAGGAAATATTTAACTTATTACCTACTAAACCTACGCTTCCTTGTGCTTATAAAAGGTAAGTATTATGTATAATTCAAATTCAAATTCAAATTCAAAATAATCTTTATTTCATAGGTAAGCATTATTACACTTGAAATCGTCACAATAGTTAAACTCTATCGCTCATTCGTAAGGCAGATTCCCCTGAGAAGAATGAGCAAGAAACTCTAGGGGTTGCTCTTTGTAAATAACATTTACAATATTTTTTTTTTATTTGAAACATCAGAGATCGAGACTACCTCCATGAGCTAAACCGGTTACTACCACGGATTTTTGTCATCCAAGTACGCAGAAGTTGTATAATAACCTTTAGTATAAAGTTTTTGTTTCACTATAGTTTTAAACCTCGTGAAAGGCAAATTTTGTATATCAACCGGAATCTTGTTATAGAAGCGTATACATTGCCCCTTAAATGATTTTTTGACCTTGTGAAGACGACTATCAAGAAAAGCTAGTTTATTTCTATTCCTCGTATTAATGTTATATCTGTCACTATTTTTCATAAATAAATTACTATTCCTTTTAACATAAATTACATTTTCATAAATGTACTGTGGGGCTAGTGTAAGAATGTTAATTTCCTTAAACTTATCTCTCAAAGATACTTTGGGGCCCAGATTGTAAATTGCCCTAACTGCACGTTTCTGCAGGACAAAGATTCTATTGATATCGGCGGTATTACCCCAAAGCAAAATGCCGTATGTCATTAGACTGTGAAAGTAGCTGAAGTAAACCAATCTAGCGGTTTCGACGTCTGAAAGTTTCCTAATTTTTTAAATCGCGTACACTGCAGAGCCGAGCCGTTTTGATAGCTTACTTATATGGGGACCCCATTGCAATTTAGCATCTAACGTTATACCTAGAAATACAAC